ATCTATGTATTTATTAGTTTTTTATTTATAAATCCATATTTTGTGTGTAACAACTGTATCAACACATGTCTAGTACTAAAGCTTAAACCTTAACCTAACTTTTGATAATAATTGAATTATCATGTTAACAATGGGTTTGATCTGCAATTTACTTATAAACACTAGTTGTTACTCGTACATTTAAATTGAAGACAGGTTTGCGAATTTACCACCAATGTAACGAGTATGAAACAAAACATGTACAGAAATATTTTGGTGCAATGTTTTTTACTATGGAAATCAATTTAGCTAAAAACCATTAATAGACAAAAACTCATCGCTAGCTAATAACATTTGATATGTTTTAATGTTATTTCGATGAATATTAGTTTATTTGACATCGACATCAGACAAGAACAAATCATTTACATGGCATACAGTTAAAGTGATACAGGGGGGATGGAAATGTTATAAAACGATTTGTGGGGGATTCCAGTCAACACTAGGTGAACTCGTCAATTATTTTACTTACTTGGGAAGCATGTATTATATCGAGTATTGATTTGAACTTTTATAAAATTCCAAATAGAGATATTTAGGATCTTTTGGCATATTTATCAAGTGGCGTTATAAAGATTGTAAAATAAGTATGAACCTTGAGGAAAAAGAACTGAAAATGGTCAACTCATAACAAAGCGGGCGTGAATGTGATTGAAATGTACATAGCCCCGAGTGCTAATGTGTGGGCATTGTAGAAAGTCTTCTGGAAGCACATCCTTCAATCACAGAGGGGGACGGATTAGGGTAGGTAAATAGTAACATTCCAAGTTTTGTTGATATATCACCCATACAGGTAAGTAAAATAGACTAATCATACACAGGTACAACGGTGGACATAACTCACCGATACAGGTAAAGTATAAGGTGATATAGACTTTCTATTCAGTTGATAAGATTGTCTATATTGAAACTTTAATGTTTGTCAAAACTGCCACTTAAGACTGAACAGGTAGCGTTTGTGACAATCCAGCTTTGATCGTATGTACCCGTGTAGCGACCGAACAAACAAATATGGTGTGGAACATCCACGATTTTATTACTTTATGTGAAACGCAGCTCCTTTCAGGTGTAAAGTGACAGGGTATTTATATAGACGAAAGTATACATCAGAATCACTAAATTAAATTGTTCTTGAAACAGTGGAATGTTTAAAAACAAAAACAAAACAAAAACAAATAATAACAATAATAATGAAATATCAAGAAAGTGTTTTTCCTTGGACAATATCGAAGATATTCAAGATAAGCACATATTCAATGTTTGTTACAAGCAAATTTGAATAGTCTACATAAGGCGAAACATATCAAAGCGTGTTGCTAAGGAACATATACTGAAGGTCAAACTATGGGTGCGACAAACACATAGTAATGATACGACAGTTTTAAAATAAGTAACAAGTTTATCACTTACATAAATATTACGACAGTTTTAAAATAAGTAACAAGTATAACACATTACGACAGTTTTAAAATAATAACAAGTTTATCACTTACAGTAATGATACGACAGTTTTAAAATAAGTAACAAGTTTATCACTTACATAAATATTACGACAGTTTTAAAATAAGTAACAAGTATATTACTTACATTAATATTACGACAGTTTTAAAATAAGTAACAAGTTTATCACTTACAGTAATAATACGACAGTTTTAAAATAAGTAACAAGTATATTACTTACATTAATATTACGACAGTTTTAAAATAAGTAACAAGTTTATCACTTACAGTAATAATACGACAGTTTTAAAATAAATAACAAGTTTACCACTTACAAAAAGAAAGTCAACATAAAGCTTTTTGTATAAACGTTCAGTGTTAAATTTGAATAAAGACTCAACTACACAAATTGTACTCAGTAAGGACAAGCATGAATGCTTTAAACATAACACAGATCTAATAACAAAAGTCCGTTATGAAATATCGTATAATATTGGTGACTTAGTGCTATAACAATTCACTGTATAAACTAAATACATTCTCAATTGACATCGCTTTAAACATAGCAATACACTAATGACAAACCCGACAAAGAGTCCTTTCTACCCGGAAGAGTGTTTACATATTCGAATTAAAATGCCTAAATAAAAATCAATGAAGCGCGACACTTATGTTCATTAGTACTGAAAAATTGTTTACCTGAGATACACCTTTGTATAACTATTTATAGAACGTCCCGTTACATTGGTTACCCTCAACCGTAAATTAGTATTCGCACGGACTTCGATGTATTTGACATATTTCAAATCTTGCTAATTAAATACACTAGCAGTCACAGGCGGTGTAAACCTGTTCAGTCCTTCACTATCAAAAGTACAATGCATCTATAGTCTGAGCGATTGATTGTGAAGGACTTGCAGACTTGTCAAGATCGCTAATACCCTATATCATATCTTAATATCTCCACAATACATGCCTGTAGCATATAAATTATCTAACCTTTGACCTCCTGAATGCTTCGTGCGTAGAGATAAATTGTTTGCAAAGAAAATCGAGTCTTGACATGCCTCGTGACTTTTCCTTATAATACATTTTACCTGTGTAGTGATTCAGTAGACATACAGTCTTATATACGTAACTCTAAGTAATATGAATGTAAGCCTGACAGAGGAACCATGAGACGGAACTCGACAGATTGGACAAGACAAGTCGGAAATAACCATTTGACATTTATAAACGAGGAAAAAGACAGTGATAGCAAATACTTGATCATCTCGGTCAAATCATCACTGAGATAGAATCAGGTACACACAGTGAGGAAATAGTTTGGAAACCAATAGCGCGTCGATATTCAATAAACCTGGATGATAATTGAGCTGGCACAAACCAATCATTTCTGGTATGGAATTAATTTACTTATAGCTAAAGCTCCTTATAGCTATCATTTCTCGGTGCTCATGGAGTCAGTTTTTACCTCCGATGTTTCATACACATAAAGGAGAGAAGCGGCGTTGCAGGGCAGGTATTTAGTTTGTAGTTAGACAAATCGATGTTGCTGTTTATCTTTCCACTATGAGGGGGTAACTATCGGGGCAACGCTCAATAGTTCTCTATAAGCATGAAATATCTAACAGCCAAGTCATAGGTACGAACGCAGGTACATACAGCGGTTTGTGTAGGAGGTCCAGCACAGACTCTAGGGTACATACAACAGTGTAAGTTAGAGAAGACCAAACAAAAATGAAAAGGTACGTATACCATTGTAAGTTAGAGAAGACCAACACAGATGAACAGGTACGTATACCATTGTAAGTTAGAGAAGACCAACACAGATGAACAGGTACGGATACCGTTGTCAGTTAGAAAGGTCGAACACAGAATATAACGTATACCATTGTAAGTTAGAGAAGACCAACACAGATGAACAGGTACGTATACCATTGTAAGTTAGAGAAGACCAACACAGAATATAAGGTACATACAACAGTGTACGTTAGAGAAGACCAACACAGTGGAACAGGTAGGTACACCAGTTTAAGTTAGAAAGGTCCAACACGGACTTAAACGTACATACAACAGTGTAAGTTGGAGAGGTCCAACACAAAAGAACGGGTGCGTACAACAGTGTAAAATAGAAAGGTCCAAACGTCTTTCAGGAAGTGCCAGTTAACTAAATGTTACGGGAGTGTGAATTTATAACAATGAAAACATACATGATCACTTTTTTCTAAATTAATATCCACTGACAGCTCACACATTATAGCTATTTTTTAAAATAAAATAACCCAGACAACAAATATCAATTGGGATGTTTTAGAATTATCAAAATGAAAAATGAATATAATTATGATAATTTTTTTAGTAATAGGTATGTGCAGTACTGATATTATTTGAATTAGAAACAAATCCCTTCATGAAAACATCAGTGGTTTAATAGTTAGCTGATATTGTACGTATGAGTATTGTGTGTATGAGAATAATCTCCCTCGTCTACCAAAGTATCACAATTTGTAAGATTTAATTGATTTTGGCTGCTGAAGGTAACGTTAAAGTCTTTATTAAAACAAGTAGTCAGACACTACGAAACATAATAGACTTGCATATCTCAACAGAAGGGAAGGTAACACCAGTTATTGTTATTTTCCATGTGTATTTATTTTTCATGTGTGAATTTAGACCACGGTGTTCTTCAAATTTAAAAAAAAAAAAAAAAACCACTAAACTATTTTGATGGAAGTTACAGTCCAGTTCAGGAATAGGTTGATCCGATCATTCAAACAGCATAGTTTAAAATACATTATATTAACCGTGTTTGCTGGTTCAATCATACGCTTAATCTAAGCTCTGTTTCTGTTGGCTTAAATGTCTCATATTTTATTCCAATAATTCAAGTTTTTCGCGTTTTATACAAATAAAATCAGCAGTCACTTTCCATTGCTGATAATGTTCATGGAATTTAAAACAAAGATGGGAAAGTAGTATAACGATTGCAAATGATAAATCTAATACACAATTTTATTATTTTGCAGTTGACGAAGAGTCTACCTGTGAACAGCTGCGTCGTAAATGTCCTTATTCCTATGTTAACGGGGGTCTCCTGCTGTCATTTAAACAAACTACAGTTTACAACACGAAGACGACTCAAGGCTACAATATGTATGGCAATACACCAGAATTAGTCGTGTATAGTTGAAAACCGTTACGTGTCGTACAGATAATTGGACGCAAACTACAACCAAAATAATAACTATTTACTTTAAACGTTGTCAAAGCATCGTGGTGGTAATACGCACTTAGATCAATAGAGAAGAGTGAATGTTGAAATTTACACTCCGTTCTCCTGAAACTGACACTCGAAAAGATATGGAGCGCCACAATTGTAATATGCGTGTTTCGTATCCGTCAAAAAGGGAATAGGATTTATTTGTTTTGTCCATGATTTCTATTTGAAGTGCTTCTTTGAGTTTATATAAACAAAGGAAACACAGATAGTTTCGACGAGTGTGGTCCTCATAAAAAGTGTAAAAGATTTTATTGATCACATAGAATGACACCTTCAACATAAGTGAACAGTTTTGGAATACAATCCTCAGAAAATGAAGGCCAAACGATTCGGGAAGGCTAAGCCTATAGCTCAGCTAACAGACATTATCAAACTAGAGTACTTTCAGCAAGTTCGATTCTTCATTGACCTTGGCATGGAAATGGAAAAGACAGATGAAAATGGCCGCACCCCGATTATGTTGTGTCCCTTTATGGAACCAGAAGTGTGGGGAACTGGGATTGCTCGTCTGCTCATCGAAAAAGGCGCTAGTTTGGAAAATTGTGACAAATACGGTATGACGGTGTTGCACCTTGCTTGTATATACACAAGAGTTGACCTCGCCAAAGTGTTTCTCAACGCAATAGATTTTGATTTACTTGAACAAGACAAATGGGGGAATACGGCGCTCCACTATGCTGTCCGAAGCGGCAATTTGAATCTCGTTAAAGTCATTACACAAGCGCAGTGGAAATACAAATTCGCATTCGACAAGAAAAATCGCGAAGGACTTACAGCTGTTGACGAAGCCTACAGGCTGAAAATGAGAAAAATCGCAGAAACAATTGAAGCTGTTGAAAATCAGACACAAGCTGACGCAGACAATGAATCTTTGTCACAGGTACCTTCATTGAATATTAGACTTTCTCGAGATTGTCTCCATTCTCGAACACTTTCTGATTTTGGATCTATATCAAGGCGTTCTTATCGAACACGCCCCAAAACAGCGTTTCTTCTAGCTCGTAGGGAATCTGCATCAAGCAGCAGCAGTGCTTCAAGTCTATACGGACACGATCGAACTGTGGTTAGTTACCGTAACTTTGTCAGACGTGAACTAGAACCGAACGAAAAGGATGACAAGATGATTCTTCGCTGTGCTCCACTCACAGACTTTCGTAATAATCCAGAATATCTGTTCCATCTCCTTGTTCCTGGAATACTTCCGGTCAGTGAAAGCATGAAATCTGGTAGGCCAAGATCGGCTTATGATTCGAAACTCCGAGATTCATCGAATGGACGGGACGGTCCTTACTTTAGTTGGAGGGTGGAATTCAAACGTTTGTATCGTCATTACGAGTACCAGTGTACGCCGTCGTATAGAGACGGGATAAAGATCACTCCTTCGGAACTCTCCTACCTTGATGCCCCGCTTACGCCAGCGCCATCGGAGGATACGAACGAAGAAGAAAAAGGGAAGAAAAGCAAACGGTCCAGCAGCTCCATGACCAAACAGAACACTGCAGAAACTGGGAGACAACGGAAGCAATCACAGCAACAACAGGGACATACACAACAACAGCAGCAACAACAACAAAAGCAACAGGAACAGTCTAAGCGCAGAACTTCGACAGTTCAGTCCGGAAAGCAATCGTCTTCATCAATGGATGGCTCCGGCTCGATGGCGTCTAGTAGCGAATCCATCAGCAGCGGGACTTCGACGAAAAAGGAGTCAGTCCGAATGTCGAATGGAAACGCGTCCGGAAGCGACTCACACGGGAGGCAAAGCCGGGCTGCGCATTACAATTAATTTCACATGGGATCTGGTATGTGCGACAATATTTTTCGGGAAAACAAGGAAATGAGTACCTTAGCTAACAACAATAGTGGAATTAGTGTTTAAATATTTGTCGACAGCTGCACTTTGTGCTCTGAATTTTACATCAAAAAGTGAAAAGTGGAACACACTTTATGTACTTTTAATTTAACACGCAACTGTTATTTAGTAGTCAACTGTTTTTCATTCCCATGTGAAGTGTCCATATAGCATATATCTGTGATATCGATTTCACGTGTTGATTCGCAACACGTTATCTGACCAAATATCGCTTAGCAAGGAATCAAAAGGTTTGAATGGACACCGTGTTTAACCTTTTATTTAATCTTTTGTATATCTTAAATGATTGGGAAAACATTCTGGCTTTTCTCCCACACGAGAATTCGCTTATCTTGGTTAAATTTCAGAGATATTCACGGATCGAATGTAGATTGCAGCTTCTACTACGTGATCTTTTTTCCCTTTCATAGTCTCTGCAACACGTCACTTCATGCCAAAACTCATAACATTTTAAAAGTCCACTTTAAGTAAATAGTTACAGATACAATCTCAATCAGTTCAAATTACTAGGCACTTTTTTCGTTATTGGATATTCGATAGAAAATAATCTCATTATGACAAACGCGAAAATTTCTAGATGAGAGATTATATTTATGCTTATAGGTGAATTAAAAGTCAACAATTTGGCTCTATAAATCTTTGTGTTGAGATGTTGATAACTGTGTATTGATTGTATAGGTAATGTGTATTTATGTACCCCATGATAACCTTTTCATACACAACGATCCCCTGTTCTTGCGTTGTGGGGGTACTTCAAGTCTGCTTGGCATGTAAATAAACAACTTCAAACTTCCATTTCTTATCGTACAAAATTGTCCGACGATAGCATGTCGTTTATGCTTAAACGATAAATCATCAATTTTGAAAGGACTAATAAGAGCAAGTCTTACTTTGCTTCACTTTCTTCTCCTTAGTCCCCCCCCCCGCCTTTTTTTTAATCTTTGCGATGTATTTCTACGCATTTTCGTTACGCATATTATTTTTATGTTTACTTACATTGTTTGAATGGGAAAAGGAACATTTTATTAAAGTTTATTCTAACTTTTAACATTAATTGTCGTGTTCTCATTGTGAATTGTTTGAAATCAATATTCATTTCTAAATTTCCAATATGCATCTTACAACGTACACCGTAATTCGTTTTGTTTTCATCAGAATAGATACGATCTTCAATTGAGACGTGGGTAAATGCCTCAGGCTGTCCAGCACTTCTTTACAAAAAATTGGGGCTAAATTTAGGGCTAAAATTACAAAATTTTAGGGCAAATTTAGGGCTAAAATTAGGAATTTTGTAACTAGAATAAGGAGTATGAAAGCATTAAACTGACTTACCTTTGCAAATTTGATAAAATAGAAACTAACATACAATGTCTTAGTTGCAGGAAAGGTGTCTTCCAGGGTTTCAGTGTCCCAGCTGCTGTTGGCTGTGACCTTAAGAATCACACCTCTGTCACTCAGTCACAACCAATAACAATCTGGGTCCACTGGTCAACTGCCTTTCATTGTCTACCCAGAATTAGAACTAGAGACTACATTGAAATACATTTTAAGTAGGAATTTAATGAAAACATTTTCAGTAAATTGTAAGAAATATAGGGCTTTTTTAGGAATTCCTTTTTAATTTTTCATTTTTTTTAGGAATGTTAGCAAAACTGAAAAAAATTAGGATTTTTTAGGAATTTTAGGGACGCTGGACAGCCTGATGCCTTTACCAAGGCGGATGCTCAACGTTGGCGTTATGGGCGAGGTATAACAAATCAGATTAAAATACATATCTTAATTTTCCACTCCAATACTTTCCTTTCATTAAGGAAAGCATTGGAGTGGTAAATTAAGATATGTATTTTAATCAGATTGCAAGGTATACTCAAACGAAGCATTAAGAGAGGTTGTGTAGGAAAACAAGAAAGAATTATAAAAAAACATTTACTCTAGGGAAAAAAACTAATGAAAATTAAAGTGGTTAAAGAATACTAGTAAATTTCTTTTGAATAACTAAGCAGACAACAAGATGTGGAAAGACATCACAATAACCATGTTTCTAAAAGACAGCACCAGGATCTGGGAGGACATGGAAAAGAACGAAGAGACGAAAATAGAGAACTCAGGGAGGAGGGTTCACGAAATGGAACATACAAGCAAGAAGGCTTCTGGTATACAATGGAAATATTCCGTGGTACTACAATGTATCAATAACTACGATTAACACTCGCTGCTAAATATCTATACATATATATGAATGCTAAGCGAAGCGAAACATAGAAGAGGCATGGAAATTGACTGACAACAGCCTCCACGTCTGTTGTTAGAAACACAGAAGGCTACATTGTTTTTTGAATTCTAGATTTATGTTGACAGTTTGAAAATCTATAGAAACGAAAAATTATTTTTGTGGAATATATGATAAAAGAAATATAGGAAATAGGTAGTCCCGGTGAAGTATAATTGCGTATACTTGTAAGTAAAATGATACATCGTGATTTTGTTACATTCTTAACCCTCCGACACTAGTTTAGATTCAGTTTGTGTCAATATTTGATTAAGAATGATCCATTACGACCGCCCACGAAATATAGGGTTTAAACGTCACCATGTGTTTATACTATTTTATAAATGTGGTGATATTTACAAATGCTTCAATCAGTCCCCATTGCTGCTGAACGGGTATAACAGCAAAGCAAAGAGTCCGCTAATGTTTAAAAGCATGTAGACGGAACATATTGAGACGGTCCCTGTTTCCTGGCTTCGAAACCAAAATGGCGACAGCCTTGGACATCGTTTGATACGGTGAATACATTTATGTTTATTTCCATTAAATTTAATTTATTTAATCCAAATACCAAGAATTTAATTTTTGTTTAAAAAAAAAACTGCAGCTCGTAAGGAATGGATTATGTCGTGTAGGACAAATTTGAACATTACCACATTCTTTATAATTGTTTTCTAAATTTAATGCTACCAGCAGGGTTATGTCTGTTATCTTCTTTCCACAAATTACCGTTTTCTTGCTCCCTGACGGCTTCCATACAATCTTCCGTTCCTCCAAGAGGTCAATATTGATACGGAACTCAGGTTTCCAATATATCAACAAATGTTAAAACTACAAACAAAATATGAAATAAAAGTGTACCAATCGTAGGTCATTGGTGTGTGTGGGTCAGTTCAAGTATCTGTTATTACACACAGTGATAAAGGACTGGTGTCCTCGAGTTTAGTTACATCATTCACGTGGTAAGTACATAAACTGTATATATATTTATACTATACTCGAGTGTTTACAAGGGTACCGAAGAACCTTATCTGATCGTGGTTGCCACTTACCACACAAGTATTTGAAATATATCTAAAATATCAATGGACATATCAATTATTGAGGAATATACAAAGTGCTGTATATGTATTTATTACCCACCGATTGGCGCTGTTATTATTGTACGCGCATAGTCACCGAAATAGATTTCTGAACTATTAAAAAAGTATTTTCTTTATATAAATGTTTTTAAATGCGTGGCAGAGGCTTATCGTGTCTAAACGGTTTATCAAGAAAACAAAAACAAACAAAAAACAAGAAAAAACTAGTTTGATCCTTTGATATACATCAAATATATAGGTCTCATAACGGTATATTGTAATGTATTGAAGTTCGGTATCACTCGCTTGTAATCTTCAAAAGGAGCGAATCAGCCTGTGATTGGTCAGATTATTTCTCTTGGAACCAATCAAATTATTTCGCTTGTGCCTTTTATTTTGTTATTACATTTTCCAGGGTTGCAGAGAGCGAAAGTGACTGTAAGCCCTGGAGTATCCAAGGTGGTCGTACTACGACATAAACCAGCGTAAAACAGTGTGCTTTGAACTATACAACACTAGCTGGTACACGCTTAATCGTCAATACGTGACAGGCCTGTTAGACGGAATATTGGCTTCACGTAGATTAAATCCATATATTCTTCATTGCCGCTTGATAAATGGTGTCATGTTAATTACGACATGTTAAGAGCAAATACTAATACAGCTAAGTGTAGACATGGTAATCCATGTAATATCTCCCATCACTATCCTGGTGTCTGGTTTCTACACACTGAAAGCCGAAATCTACCAATAAGAGATTTATGAATACGTAAACCAGGGACGTATAATACATTATTATACGTCCCTGCATAAACCGCCGCATGATTGTAATTTTGTACTTTAACGGAAATTACTGAAATAAGTTGTGAAAACTTAAGACTTCAATTCTGTAAATCTTTATTTGTAATAAAATATGTTTAAGTCAAATACCATCACAGTTTCCGATAATGATTAGTATTTGACCAAACTCTTCTCCATTTTCCGGTATACGCGCATGCCTGTTACCGTGAAATTTCGAAAGAAAAGTAGGCCTAGCAATTTTTGGCGGACTGTAAGAAATTATCTAAGATTAAGATATACTTATTATAAGCTAGCTTTCCACACTTGACGAGATATAAAGTTTCTTTTCTGTAGTTATTATCATTCTTCTGCTCGATTTAGGTCGGATCGGAGCCTGCCGGTTAATGTTGAAGGAAGGGAGATAACTCAAAAAACATCAGGATTAGTTTCAACATCAATATACATTGTACATAAGCGTATATTCAATTAAAATTTCGAAACCAAGAAAAGAGCAAAATATTCAACAGATTAATTAAGTTCTTTACATACTCAAGTGTATGAAATAGGACCGGAAGTTTGATTGATATTGCATGATGATAAAAAAAAATCAACTATGAAAAGAAAGCAATATACTGATATTACACTTCTGTGTTGAAACCTTCAAGCTGTGTACAGACGGCTTATTTTGAACAAATTGGAGAAGGGGGTTTGCCTTGTTGATACAACTGAACCGTTTGCATATAATGCGTGTTGTAAAGGGGAAAACATCAACAGCATACCTCCATAACTTAACATGTTAACAGCATAAACAGGACATCATCCGATTTACAGGATATGGATAACAAAAAGGACAGGATTGAGGAGAGAAAGAACAAGACATCATTTCCTGTTACAGCTTAAAACAAGATATCACAAAGCGTTGGTAAAATGAAATATAATATACATCTATTTAATGTTATGATAATAGATTTTAACACATTTTCGACACTGTTACTGGTATTTTGATGTAAATCATCTGTTGCTGTTGATTTTTTTGGGTATGGTTTGACATCATTCGCAAACAAAATGAAACATAATCAGTAACATTTGTTGTGGAATTTTGTTTTGGAAATATCAAAATATCAATGTACCTTAACAATCAGAAAACCATTTCCAGACAATAGAAAAAGCAAAATATCCAAAATGCATCACAAGAGTGCTAGCTTGTATCAAATGTCCACACATTCAGGCAATTTGACGACTAATTTGTTGCCACACTTTGACAACCATAAAATAAGTCATTTTACCTTAGTGTCTGTTTCTAACATATTTCCATGGTTACAAGAAGCAAGGTATACTTCAGAAACATTATGCCCTTCAGGGTAAGAGTGTAAACCACTCAAACATGAGGGCTACAACATCCAGCTGAAAGGCATTTGTATCTTACAAAGGTGTAGGTGAACAAATGTGGTACAATTGAGTGAAAGATCATTAGATATACAATAGACAAATAAGATACTGGTTACTTAGTCATCGTAAATACTGACAGGTTTGGACTTGGAGATGTTCCCCTTGAAGTTTAAGCCGGAAATGCTTATACCGCTGTTTTGCCACTATTTTGTAGCTTTGTATAGTAGACTACCATTATATCTACACGTACATCAGAAAGGAATTTAAAATATATTTTTTCAAGATGGCGGCCACCATGGATTTCAGACATACCTAAAAAATAACATTTGGTCAGGACTATCTCATGCAAATTTGAGCACAATCCCACTAGTGGAACTTGAGAAGAAATTTGAAATTTCAAAAGTTGACAACAGAAGAAGCATGATGGCTATATATCATCATGACCCTTCGGGTCAGATGACTTAAAAACCTTAATGGACGGAGCATTAACAGACTACAACAGTCAAAATAAAATATTTAGATTTCCTGAGGAGTTTTTAAAACAGGTGAAGCACAATAAGGCACCAAGTGAAACCAACATGCAGAACCTGAGAAAAATTCATCTATTACTTCTCTATAATACAAATTACAAACTATAGCCTCCAAAACCATAGCAGCTTCCTGTCTGTCATTTTTGTTTCAGTCTTACAATAAAAAACGTTAAACTAGGGACCATGGAAAACTTGCTTCCGAAAAAGGGGAATGAGCCGTCCTGTTCTCAGGAAATAGTGATGACGATTCATAATGGTCAAGATGTTCCATCGAGTATCATAATGGTCAAGATGTTCCATCGAGTATCTTAATGGTCAAGATGTTCCATCGAGTATCATAATGGTCAAGATGTTCCATCGAGTATCTTAATGGTCAAGATGTTCCATGGAGAAGTGCAAGTAACATGAATTCAATGACGATATATATACTACCGGCAACTGCTAAAATCATGGTTATGTAGCTAGTTTTTATCAAATTTGGGCATGACTGACCATATGTAGTTATGTCTCTTTATAACATTATGATAGACATCTGGTTTATGATCAATACACATATCAACATCTATAGGAATGCATCATACTGCTGGATAAACATTGAACTTTACACTTAATTAACAGAGAGCCAGTGATATACTTCCTTTATAAAGAATTTTCTTTAAAGAAAATCAAAGATGTTTCCCCAAATGATAAACAATTTCTACGTGAGAAGATTACAAATATATATAGATATGCCAACTTTGCATGAAAACAGAAATGCACTATTGTCAGTTTTGTCTTCTCATATAACCCATGAACAAAACTCATTTCCAGTATTCATGATCATCAAGCCAATTGCCTTTTCCCTTACATCCTCATCCAAGACATTCAAATAATGTCAATGGTTTCTTTCTACATCAGGTTAATTACCTTACACTTGAAATGCCCCAATTAATGTGTATATCCAATTAACAATTTGTGCCACACTTTAATACCTATGCAAAAACCCTCATATTTTCTTTACATTATCATCATATTTCAGGCAAGTGCCATCATGCTGTTCACAATACATAGTGTGCTGGCCAACAAATATATCTGGAATATTGATATCAAAAGTCCATTTTGTTCCTTTAAAGCATATCTGGGTCTAAAGACTGGCGAGTATGAGTATTAACAACAATGAAAACATTTTGTCCCGATTGCAAGTTTTCAAGACTGCTGTTGTCCATGTTACGGCAGGTCCACTGTATCACATTATTTCCTCTTAACAATCTTTCCATCTTTTAATATCTTTAAAAACAATTTTCTACAAAAAGACAGTTTCCCCCTTTATTGTTAATACTGAATAAAACTACCAAAAATCATGACAAACTAGAACAGTCTTTCTTTTTTTTTGTTTATTTACAGCAGACTTATTTATCTATTTAGTGGCAACTGCAGATGATGGAGCGGCTGCTGTCTTTTTCTTGGACTTGGCTACTGTACCCTCACGGAACCCATTCCTACAATGATAAAATTAAAGATAAACTTAAATTAAGGAACTTTACAGACACTTTCTGTAAAGATAAATATATATATCTTTGATTTTTCATTCTTATTCAAAAGTACATACAATTTTTTATCAAAACTTCAGGGTTTTCCATAAAAGCCGGTTGCCAGCCAATTTTACCGGCTACCTTGATCATTTGGCTGCCTACACCAATCCAGTTCCGCAATAATGTTCCGTACACGACTACACATACACAGCAGGCCAGCCTCCTACTTTCACTACACAGCCTACTACTAACAAAATTATGGAAAACCCTGAAACTTTTAAGTTGATTTTACTGACCAAGGTTTTTGTGCCAACAAAAAGCTGGGATGGAAGTCTGGATTACTTTGGTCGTGGTATTTACTTCTCTTTATGGAATATGGTCTTTTTGTCTCATTTAAGTAAGAACAGTAGCTGATCAGGGATTAAATTTTCATGTTTTCAATCTGAATGAAGTAAGAAATATACCAACAGCACCAAAACTCTCCATTGGAAAAGGACTGGCTTAATACATTCATTTTTTACATATTAAATACTAAAATGGACCTATCTGTACATCAATATAACGGTTATTGTGATAAAAATTTACCTGAACCTCCTGAAAACATCCTTAAGATGCCTCATACGTCCAGTTCCAGTTGTCCTCCTCCTTTTAGATTTCTCACTCCAGTTATCTGTTTATACAAAAGTGAAAAATTTTGTCATGCTTTCTCAACTTGAGGGATTGTCTTGACATCTTCCAATTATATAATCACATCAATGTAGTTTAGACATTTTTTCACCAATAGAATATTTTATCAATTCAATATGAAAACTTACAGCTTTCTATTGAACATTAACTGTCCCCGTTATTCTCAACAAAATCAACAGCTTTTAACCATGCCATAAAAGCTTGATGCTTGACACAAGATATCATGTCAACACTGTTCCCCTGTGGTTGAAGTGCCCATATTGGATTAACAACGAAGATTAAGATTATGTACTCACATGACCTCTTCTTTGGACTAGGATATCCACATGAAGCACATACTTTCTTCTGGATATGGAAAGAGCGGCGCCCACACCTCCTGCAGTGGGTGTGGGTCTTATTGTGCCGTTTACCAAAGCTGGATGTTCCCTTGGTCTGCAAAGAAACAAGAACTGTGTTATATCAGTGACTTCCATGATACTTGTAATTGTATTGTTCCAGGTGTCAACCTCACATTTCTTTTAGGTAGTTCACAAATAATTTCATGCAAAGAAAACTTAAAGATGTAAAATGTGATGGTGAAAGTATATCTTAACATGATTTCAACTGTACACCCATATTGATTACACCAAAAAAATGATGACACAATATCTGGTGAATGAGAATATCAATCTCTGAAATAAAACTGTATCAAGGTTGGACATGTCTGCTGAAATGTTTGGTTTTGCCTGTAGAAAACTGGGACTGCATGGCATATGTCTTTGATATACAATAATTGTCAATGGTCAGATTTTTGAAAATCACACTACAAAATATATCGCATAGAAGAAGTGAATGGATGTTGATAAGCTAGAATCAATGCTACTGCAATGAATGGGTTGAATAGTAAACCACTAATCATAGTGTATATTCATGTATATACACAGGCCCCTTCCCAGCAACATTCTTGTCGCTGTGGGTCTTGAGGGCACACATTATATTTAAAAGGGTAACTTCTGTTTATTACAGCACTTCATGCGAATTCAACAAATGGGAAATACTGCGATTGTCGATAACATAAGTAAGGAAACACGTACTTCGCTTCCGAGACAAAAAGGAAATTTACTTCAATCTCGATCATAACATTTGACAGTTGTTGGGAAATATTACGTTATACCCGCAAGATTTAATAGATAACTTTCCTTCACCGAATTGATGACACTGTCCCTTGTGTCTGGTGCAATAAACCTCAAAATAAACGAACCACCATTCATATACCATCAATATCTATGCTGTCTAATGATTTGATTTACACGCGAATACCCTATTCGAACACATTCAAAATAGGGTATCTTGTACAAAATCTTTGACATATTGCAGCGAAATATTTATGTAAAATAAACCAATGAATTTTTATCAGTTAAATAAGTAAACTTTCATTGCGCAAACTTTATTTGTGAAGCCGATAATGGTCGATTGAATGTCGGGTATTTTTCATCGCTCACCATGTTTATCCAGCAAGATGGCGAAAGGTCACTTCCGTTTTCCTGATCCGTGAACTCGTAGGCTTCTGACGTCACATCCTTAGTAAACTAACAACTTATTTTGGCCACGTTGGAGCTGACACATCGCTGTCATTACGTAGAAGAAACTTGGTATATATAAAGACGTAACTATGAATTCTTCACATTACGATTTATTCAGCGACAATATTGTCAGTAAAAAGTTTTCTTACGCAAAGTCAATCATCTGTTGGCCTGAAAATGATTGAAATAGATATACCTCATGATATTTGTTCAACAACATTTGCTTGTGGACCAAGTTTGTATGTTAAACGGCCCGAAAAACCTTCGTATGAAAACGACCAAAGGTCAGGTATAACGCCACCACTGGGAAATGATTATTTGTTGGATGAAGGACTTCTTTTTATCCTTAAAACTTTAGTGAAGAAATATAAAAAACAAATGGGTGATCAACAAGAGACCCTTGTGTCGGGAGGACTGCAACAGTATCTGATCAAACTGGAAATGAAAAAGAGGAGCTTAATGAACGAAAAGAAAAATGTCGACCAGGAGGCATCGATTTTCCATGGGTTACCTGTAAGTACAAGTATATAAGGAATGGACTTAATGTAATTTCCGGAAATAAACATTAATGTGTTTATACTATCTGATTATGATAATCTGGCATGGTGATGTACTGATAGTATCATCTGTAAGTGATTGTCGAGACATTAACAAGCTTGATCTATAAAAAGCAACCAGACCAATCAATCTATCAAGAATTACTAAAATATCATGTGTGGTGTACATATTAATGTTTAATGTTAGAATATATTTGCTCTGTTATCAAACCTAGCCTTATCTTGAATGAAATGTCATTTATCTTACAGTTAAATGTGAAGCTCCATATCTTCTCTTACCTTGGAGTGAAAGACCTTTGTCGGATGAGTGGGGTGTGTAGAGACTGGTATGATGTGAGCCAGGACAATCACTTGTGGCAGGAAAAACTGACACGGAACATTCAGTCCTGGAATATTATTTCTCATTTGACCAATCCAGCCTTATACAGGGAAGTGCAGTCTGAATGGTCAAATAAGGAAATGTAAGTTTCAGGGCATTTGCACTGTTTGGTAGATTAATGGTTCATTACACATGCCATAACAATCAATATGTTAATGAATATCTGTTTGTATACACAGTACATTAAAGTGGTGATTATTTTAATCTTCATAAATCAGTAATGATCAACTCAGACTAGTAATATTTTTAAACATCACTTGGAATAACATAAATATATTATATATGTGTGTGTGTGTATATAGTCCAATTTGCATAGTAAGATTTTGCTTTCATTTTCTTAATTTTTTTTATTAAGATTTCTGAGATGTTCTCCTGAAATCAACCAAATTATGCATGAGAGAAACTCCATGCTAACAAGCATATCAAATATGCTGAGGTATTTCCTTCCAAAGAAAGTGCCAAAGATTGCCATGTTTGGTCCAGGCCTGGAATCTGAAAACACAAGCAGTTTAGTCAGACAAATGCTGACAGCAAGAACGTTATTGGAACAAGTGGGGATGGTTCCAGGACAGTTTGATGGTATTTATATATATCTTTGATGATATCAGTATCACATATTTCCATCAGCCATTATCTTTGAAAAATTCCCTTTTTTCTTATAGAGTTATGAGAGATAGTAAATTGAGCTTAGTGAAAGAAATTACAAATATGTAAATGGTCTTTGTATCAGATTCACAAAGTTTTATTAATTGTGTATATAATATTCCTATTCCTAAAAATTTCATGGTAGGTATTATACTACATGGTTGGTATTTACCCTGTAATGTTATAGTGATAGTGTGTCACAGGAATTTGTAGCTTTCATTTATCTTAATCTGTTATAAGGTGTTGGTTCTGGCTGGCTTCTGAAGATGGCAGACAGTACAAATTTCCAGCTGTCAGTGCTATACTCTGCTTCCAAATCAGTCCGACAACAACCAGGATGGGATCGTATCAATGGCAATAACTTACTGCAGGTATCAATACATGATGGTGGACAAGTCGGTGTGGAGCTCAAGCCAGCAGTCAAAGATTTCTGTCGAACTGTGGATGCTTTCATCTATGTTGTAGATTCAACATTATCAGCTCCTGGTAAGACACTTTTTTTTAACAAGTCAATGTTTTATTGACACTGATATAGGTTTAATGTGCCAAAACATCAAGAAATATTTTTCTCCTTATCAAAGTCAAATTTCGCTAATTGTAAATGAGGTAAAACTTGATGGTGTTTCTTTTGTTAAATTGAAATGTTTATATTGCAGGTGAAGGGAATGACGAGTTAAACACCATGGTAAATGAGCGCTGGTCAGCCACACATGTTCCAGTTCTAGTATTATCCTGTGTTAAAGACTCCAACACCAGTCGCATTCCTTGCATCAAGGTCGTGGAGAAGCTTGGAATGTCAAACATGACAAGACCATGGCAGGTAAAGAAATATATTGACAGGTTATATCACATATCTGTTCTGAAATATTGGAAGCACATTCAAATCATGTTAACATGTGTGTTGAAATCCAGTGTTTGAGGTGATTAATGTTACCAATACCATTCATTCTGTTTGCAGGTGCGTGATTGCGAATCTGAGAACCTGACAGAGGTATTAAATGGAATTCGGTGGGTTGTTGAACAGTCACATAGACGATGAAAGTTTGTTGCCGTAAACAATTAACTACACGTCACACCAGCATGTGACACAGTGGACATCTGTCCAAGAAATGGCTACTGGTCACTCCCACTCGGAGGAGTCACACACAGACTACAAAGAAGCCAGCCATGTGAAAAGCCTAGTCACACCTAAAGATGATCATATCCAAGTAACATCAGAAAAGAAAAAATAAGGAGCTAGATACTGAGTTACAAACAGAGATTATCAGAACATCCTTAAACTGAGTGACAAACACAGACTATCAGAACGTCCTCAATGTAGCAGTCTTGTTAAGCAGGAAAGAATTGATCTGTTATTTTCACCAAGTAAAGACCTATTTTACGAAGAATTTTACACGCATATTGTATTGAATGAACAGATAGAGGTTCAGAATAGTACCAAGCAATGTGACCAAACAATGAGAAGCTAGCCTCCACAACTCAAACTTAACATCATTCTTTACCTCGGTAGGATAAAGAGTTAGTTCCATGCATCATAATTCTAAAAACAGGACAACTGAAAATGAAGTTATCTTGTAAAGTACAGCATACATGTGTCAGCTGTAAGCTTCATGTGCTCACATAACATATCAGTTTAAAGTGATAAAACAGTATTTATTACTCAGACTATTTATATTGTGCCTCAGATATTGATTTTGAGAAAGCTGATAATTAAATAGTAGAATGTAGCTGATCCATCACCAATCATAGATATATTTTTACCTTGATGATGAGCATTTAGTCACCTGTAATTCTACAGAAATTATTGAAGATTTTTATGGATACAAATACTGATTACAGAACAGAGGTATATCACATAAGGATTTTAATTTTTTTTTAAAAACCGGGAAGCAAAGTTTGAGGAATCAAATGTGCCAATAATGTGTATTGTGTATACCCCACCAGATGGCAGCAGTAATGAGATTAATTGAAACTTAATATTTTATGATCACATTTATCTGTCAAAATAATTGATAGACTTTCACATCAATTTTTGTGTTGTATGACATTCATACTGAAAGTATAGTGTTCGTCTTGTTAGTTTACAGTGTGAATGTAGATTGTGAATTGATATAAATAGGACTAGTTCCCATATTACTTTAAACATATATCAGTGTCATTATATTAAGCACTACATGATTCTATCAGTTGTATTTCAAAGTTATAATTTAAAGCATTACAAAGTGTTGAATATAAAATAATAATGGGACTGTTTTTTTGTTGTTGCAGTTATTTGGTGTCACACCATCTAACCTGCCTAAATTTCAAGTTTTTAAAACATCTGTTTGGTATTTCTGGCTAAAATTTCAAATGAAATGTTGGTAGAACACTCATTATGGTTGAAGTCTTACTGAATATAGACTTTAAGGATTTAACAAGTGATAGAAACTCTTCTGTTGTATCTACATCGTAATAGATAGCTTCAATCTAGTATTCAAATCATATGAACCAAAGAAAACCAAAACATTTAATTGGATCTTGAACTTATTTCACTTTACAATTCAATTCTTCACAAACCAACCTTTATTTTGTGATAAAGATGACATATGAGAAATAACTTTAACACCTAAAGCTACAGATAAAATATTAATTTCCAAGTTAATATTACATAGAACGTCACCTAAAATTAGCTGTTATCATAAATTTTTCATTTTCTTAGTTCTTGGCACACGCGCCTCGTTCAAATAACAAATTGCTTATCATATAATTATAGTTCAAATGTTTAAGCTAATATGAACAGTAGTTTATAGGATGTATGGAACTATGGTGACATATTTATATTACAAATATATGACTATTATTTACTCAAGGAATATGCACTAATATATTTGTATAATACAATTACTAGTAGCTATAAGAATTTGTCGTGATAATTTTATTGATGTGAGAATGCACTGTGATACAATTTGTTATCATTATGATATATTTATACATTGTTTATTTTTACACACACATGATTTTTACACACATGAATATTGTTAACATAATTAAATATGATAGATATATGATTTCAAGTTTGTGTTTATTTATTTGTTCTGACTTAGTACTGTTTACACAAGTTGTAATTCACCTCCCTCCTCAGTACCTATCAATCCACAGTAAAGCAATACAAAATATGCTTAACACAACACTTCTATATGATCACAATATAAAAAACAGACAAATTTAATCAACGGTCAATGAATCTTTTATTTGTCTCATCCACATGACCAGCTGTGAGATTTATCTTTCTTTCCAAAACAAGAACCAGCAAGTTTACCTGATGGATTTACAAACTGATGAAAACAGTTTAAGATCATATACCATTTTCACACAGTTTTCTGATAGCACTAAATTTTGGCACAAGGAGAATTCCAAAAGTGAACTGCCACCTCTTCTCCCCGCCTCCCAAAGCTTTATAACACTGATTTAAAAAACAAGACCTATGTAACTATGTAAATTATCTAAAAGTCAAATTTACAGTTGGCTTGGAAAGTTTCTTCCAAAATTAATTTACACCAGAAAGTGGAGAACACTGTCTTTCATGGCCATGGATAGCTGAATTCTTAGACAGTTGTTACCACCAAATAACTGGTATATCTGTCCAGTTTCTCACTTGTTGATGTTTCATGTCCTGAAACATGTGAGATAATAACAACTGGATACATAAGTCATAAGCAGCCTTGGGCTACCATCGACTTGATTATTTAACAATTCCTTCATCTTAGTTATCAATAAGGTCATCCATCTTTCTTCAGTGATAAGTACATGACATTTTTCACCATTTCTTTCTTTGGACTGATCTTTTTCAGAAGTGTTGCTATGGCACTCATCATAGCGTCTTTAGTCATGTCGACACGTTTGGATTTGAACTTGTGTAGTAGTTCCTTGGTCGTCATAGGTTTCCTCATCAGGTATCTTCTGATAGATTCTTCTGTGATACCACCACTGAAACAGGACAACAATATATCTGTGATACCACTGAAACAGGACAACAATATATCTGTGATACCACCACTGAAACAGGACAACAATACATCAGTGATGACACCACTGAAACAGGACAACAATATATCTGTGATACCACCACTGAAACAGGACAACCATATATCAGTGATACCACCACTGAAACAGGACAACAATATATCTGTGATACCACCACTGAAACAGGACAACAATATATCAGTGATACCACCACTGAAACAGGACAACAATATATCTGTGATACCACCACTGAAACAGGACAACCATATATCAGTGATACCACCACTGAAACAGGACAACGATATATCAGTGATACCACCACTGAAACAGGACGACGATATATCAGTGATAACACCACTGAAACAGGACAACAATATATCAGTGATACCACCACTGAAACAGGACAACAATATATCTGTGATACCACCACTGAAACAGGACAACAATATATCTGTGATAGCACCACTGAAACAGGACAACAATATATCTGTGATAGCACCACTGAAACAGGACAACAATATATCTGTGATAGCACCACTGAAACAGGACAAAAATATATCTGTGATACCACCACTGAAACAGGACAACAATATATCTGTGATACCACCACTGAAACAGGACAACAATATATCAGTGATGACACCACTGAAACAGGACAACAATACATCAGTGATGACACCACTGAAACAGGACAACCATACATCAGTGATGACACCACTGAAACAGGACAACAATACATCAGTAATGACACCACTGAAACAGGACAACAATACATTAGTGATGACACCACTGAAACAGGACAACAATATATCTGTGATACCACCACTGAAACAGGACAACCATATATCAGTGATACCACCACTGAAACAGGACAACAATATATCTGTGATACCACCACTGAAACAGGACAACCATATATCAGTGATACCACCACTGAAACAGGACAACAATACATCAGTGATACCACCACTGAAACAGGACAACCATATATCAGTGATACCACCACTGAAACAGGACAACAATACATCAGTGATACCACCACTGAAACAGGACAACAATATATCTGTGATACCACCACTGAAACAGGACAACCATATATCAGTGATACCACCACTGAAACAGGACAACGATATATCAGTGATACCACCACTGAAACAGGACGACGATATATCAGTGATAACACCACTGAAACAGGACAACAATATATCAGTGATACCACCACTGAAACAGGACAACAATATATCTGTGATAGCACCACTGAAACAGGACAACAATATATCTGTGATAGCACCACTGAAACAGGACAACAATATATCTGTGATAGCACCACTGAAACAGGACAACAATATATCTGTGATAGCACCACTGAAACAGGACAAAAATATATCTGTGATACCACCACTGAAACAGGACAACAATATATCTGTGATACCACCACTGAAACAGGACAACAATATATCAGTGATGACACCACTGAAACAGGACAACAATACATCAGTGATGACACCACTGAAACAGGACAACCATACATCAGTGATGACACCACTGAAACAGGACAACAATACATCAGTAATGACACCACTGAAACAGGACAACAATACATCAGTGATGACACCACTGAAACAGGACAACAATACATCAGTGATGACACCACTGAAACAGGACAACAATACATCAGTGATGACACCACTGAAACAGGACAACAATACATCTGTGTGATTACACCACTGAAACAGGACAACAATACATCAGTGATGACACCACTGAAACAGACAACAATACATCAGTGATGACACCACTGAAACAGGACAACAATACATCAGTGATGACACCACTGAAACAGAACAACAATACATCAGTGATGACACCACTGAAACAGGACAACAATACATCAGTGATGACACCACTGAAACAGGACAACAATACATCAGTGATGACACCACTGAAACAGGACAACAATACATCAGTGATGACACCACTGAAACAGGACAACAATACATCAGTGATGACACCACTGAAACAGGACAACAATACATCAGTGATGACACCACTGAAACAGGACAACAATACATCAGTGATGACACCACTGAAACAGGACAACAATACATCAGTGATGACACCACTGAAACAGGACAACAATACATCAGTGATGACACCACTGAAACAGGACAACAATACATCAGTGATGACACCACTGAAACAGGACAATAGGAAATCATTTATAGAATCAAGATTAATCAGAATCTGTTATAGAGATTTTATGTTTTGCAGTAACTTATTGTGAGTATGAAACTTGTAGATGACAGAAGATAGGAACAGTCAAGAAATGTCCCCTGTAAAATTTACCTTGATGATCCATGGGCACCTAAACTTGGACTGTCTGTCCTCATCTTCTTTGATGCCTGTGTCTCAGTCTCTAATTTTCTTTTCAGAGCTAAAACATTGTGAAAATGGTGGAAAAATACATTATAAACATAGCTAATCAGAAATTATTACATGATAAATCTTAAGAAATTTTACAGGTGTACATGAAACGATATACTGTACATTCATCTATACTCACTCAATACAAATTATAATTATTAAATCTATACAGGATTTATTAAGTATTTTAATAACCGATTATATCACATTGTAAATGTATTGTGTCTTCACACACTGCACTGTACTAGTTATATTGACCCACATTTACTTTACCATAGTACTCAATATTTAAGACTTTTATTAGATCTGGTCCAATGATATAAAAGTTAGTCTCCTTACAGCTTTTATCCTCGCTGTCTACAGGTGTGCCAGCACGGGGAACTGGGGATAAACGCTTCTCTTTCTTCTGTAAATCATAAAGAGTGAACTTCAATACATATAATTGTACACATATTTCATTTTTATACTGGTCTGAATTTAATACTTATATATATATAGTAAGTACAAGATAAATTGATGGAACTATAGTACATGTATCAGTAATTAAGTACAACATCACAGCTTCATTAAATATAACATGTTAGACATGTATAATATTGACACTTGTATAACAGTGTGCTGACAGGTGTTATATTCATGAGAAAAATCTTCTGGACATACCTGCATGAATATAGCTGATGATATCTTCTCATCCTTGTCAATATCTGAGTCACTGTCGGAACTGGAGCTACTACTGTCACTATCTGATCCTTAAAACACAGCAAAACACAAAGGTCACAAAAGATATAGATCATCGTTATCAATTCCAGTGGGGGAGGGGGAATTATTTTACCTCTGACATACACAAAAACACTATAAGGCATCAATCACATACCAATACTCTCTTTTATCTCTGATCTCATTACCATTTACTAATGAACTTACATCTACAGCAAAATCTTGTGAACTTCCAAATATTAATATTTCATTAAAACAGTCTGGTTACTCAATGTTTACCTTACAGAAAATATTAAAAGTATGATAATTTCTTCAGTCCCAAAATAGTACTTTATTTTGCAATTTTGACTACAGCTTTCACTATGTATTTATTTACTTATTTATTCATTTAATGAGGTTTACAACTTCCATCATGGTTTTCAGCAGACAAGAAAATGTAGAAAAATGAGGAGAAAGGATAAATGAAAGAAGAAAGAGGGAACTTTTGTTATGTGACAATACCTTTATACCATGATAATGCGATATTATTCTTAATATACGACTTCACATTCATTAAATAACGATTAATGTCATATGAAGCTGAATTTTGTGATGACCTTTGACCACGACCAAGTACCACAGCTAGAAGTCAAGACAATTTTTCATAATAACCCAGAATTAATGATATCAAGGAACAGATAGATAATTTTAACCACAAATCTTTAAATTGAAAGTTAAAGTTCATTACCTTCCTTTTTCTTCTTTTCATTCTTTTCTGCCTCTTCTTTCTCCTTTTCTTCTTGCTTTTTCTTTTCTTCTTCATCTTCACTGCTCTCGTCTGAGTCCAAGAGCTTCTTCAACCCTCTTTCCTCATCCACTCCCTTCTCCTGGTATAGGTCTCCTTTCTCACGGTCCCCAGTCTCAGAAAGACTACTGCAGACCAAAGAAAGTATTGTGACATGAGTCTACCGAGGATTGATATGCTCAAGAAAAAGGATGGATTCAGTAAGGCAAGCATTACCTGGACATTTTACCTTGACTCTATATACTACTACTGTGACATCAACATCTCTGATACAATGTTTGAATGTATTACACAACACAGAGTCTGATAACTGAAAGCATTTTTCCAAAATATGAAAGAAAGAAAATTTTATGTTCATTAAAGTGTTACAGTGACCTTGACCTTAAGTCTCAAAGAGTGTTTTATAACAGATACCATCTGTTCACATTGTTTTCGCATGTGAAATTTTAAGTTAACATACAGAATGTGGAAACAAGCAATTAGGTTCTGATTTGAATATTGTCCAAATCTTGAAAGTGCTATAACATAATATCCATGTACATGTATACAAAAGGTACATGAAGTTTTAGAATAGTTTACCTAATTAGAAAATATGATGATAGCTAGCATAACATTGACTTCTGTAAACCAGCTTCCTTTTGCAAAAACTCACTTCCACAGTTTCAGCAATACACCACATTGTGGCAATTCTAAACAATTTTGAAAAATATCAATGTATATGGTGTTTATATAAAATCCATAGGGAGCTCCAACATGGGAGGAAAGTACGCTTGCTGTTGGGTGCGTGAGGAAAGTAAGTTTGCTGTAGGGTGTGTGAGGAACATAATTGTATGTTAATCAACAGAGTTTAACATCAAAAATTGTGTTTATTATGAATGTTTTATGGCAATTACGTTTTTATGCAAAATTCACAAAAGTAAATCACTTGTGAAAGAAAGTTGGTTCATGGTAGTTATTTTTGCCCCTAATGTTCACCTTCATAATCTTGACCTGTAATGATATGTGAAAAAGTTATTCGACCTATACATCTTAGAAGTTGCATTAGGGATAGCTAAGTTAAGTTGAGTCCTTCAGATTCAATAAGGTAACCTTTTTATTTGATCTTTGGGTTCAAAGACAATTACCTGATCTCTTAAGCCAAATCTAGTTGATGTACTTAAACCCAAAGATTAATTAAAAGGTTATACAATTCATGTTTTTAGTATTAAGAGCCAACCTAAATGATGAATTTACCTGTCAGAGTCTGTGATGTAGTCAAGTTCCCGATCATCAAAGTCTCCCTCATCACTCTCCTCTACAGCTTCATCATCAGAATTATGTTTAGCAGTCTTCTTTGGTTTTGCAGCCTTCTTTGTTTTCTTTTTAGGTTTTTCATCTACACATAATAACAATAGTGCAGTTATATACATGTTACAGAGCGACGAATACAAATACACATTTGAATTAGCATATTATAAAATAATAGAAAAATAACTAAATCAAACAGGAGTTTCCAAAAAAATCAACTATTGTATCATCTTTATTCACTTGCTTCTTCATCAGTTGGATCTTTTCGATCTTTTCTTCTATCCCTCCCTACATAATGTGTAACCAAGGGAAACCTACTTATCAAATTTGCAAGCAGACCATCATGCAGTTGAACCATCCAGAACTACAACAATCGAATCATAATCCAAAACATCCACCTGTAGGTCATTTCGTTATTCTAATCATTCCCACAATGCACAACTGCATACCTAGGAAATACGGGATGTCTACATGTCAACTATTTTCTTTTTCTGATCAGTCCTAAATCAAATACACACAAGCAGGGATAAAGGGGAACTTACTAATGAAATTAAAGATTGAGAAAGTTGGCCACATGTCAGACATTTTGTTTTTCTGATCAGTTTAAAATCTAAAGAACAAAACTAGGGACCCAGGAGAACCTACAATTGAAAATTGAGAGTAACAAAAGTAATTAATTTACAGTTATTATAATAACTGCAGCATGTGACATTATCCTAAATCTTAAACTGCAATCTTACCATCTTTGTTTTCATCTTCATCATCATAGTCATCATCATCTTCATCATCTTCGTCATCTAAATCTGTCAATTGCTGTTAATCATGGGGAAAAAAAACTTCAGTTTCATTGACATCTTCATAGCTTTCTAAAATTTTCTGTATAAAAGTAGATGACCAACAAATTTATTTACTTGCTTCAAAACTAATTACATTCTTCTATTGACAACAATAGACAATCACTGGGAATCTGTACTCATAGTAACAAAACTCATAATATCCATCACTTCGAAGAATGGAAAAGAAATTAAACAACATATTACCTGTCATTTCTCATTGCTTAAAAGAAGTTTAAAACAATTTTGGGGTGACTGGTAAGGGGAGTTAACTGGTACAGGAAAAAGAAAAATCTTAAGTTGGGAAACAAATGAGTACATATGTACATCATTATTTTCTATTTCAGGGTGTTACCCCTGCCCCAACCCCTCTGGAAAACAATATGTACAAAGGACACAGAAGACATTTTGAAATGGACATTCTCATGGAAAATACTTCTAGTAGTTGTAAGCTGAATTATCTCTATCATTACAAGTTATGTCTGATCAAGTGATGTTAGACAGACAGGCTGATTTATGTAGAGGTGATTTACAGACATATAATGATGGTAAGATATTACAATTATCAAATGATGAAGGTATAGATGACGGGAAACCATCTGTCAGAAGATGTCAACACAATTTATTAGTTGAAATGATTCTGAACACTAGTAATGTTGTCATCATAACAGTGTAACAATTCTAAAACATAGGACTTAAATTTGATGTACTAGATAGTACAAAGATTTTTGTGGCATCATAGTTTACATGATCAAAGTTGGTGGAATTATGGTGAATACATTCAGATACTAATTTCTAAATTTGTATAAAACTAGAGGAAGTGAACAATTAGGATAGAATTAGAATAAATATACACTACTGAACATAAATTCATATATAAACACATTAATAGAGCATGTACTGTAGTTAAGGTGAGTAATTTATAAGTGTTTATTCTTCGCCAGTTCAATTCTAAAAGTAGCAAACAAGTTATTAAAAAGACATAATAATCAAAAGCTAATATATTGTCTTTTTGACATATAAAGGCAGCTTTCATTACATTCAGAATAAAGAATAGTTTGTATACTTTTACATCAATGGAGGAGATAATTCTTTTTACTGGTACTTATTTTTTTATTTTTCATAAGGCTATAAAAAGATTTCAGCAGTTGATATTCACAGGTACTTACAAATCCTTGCTTCTTTGTTTTTCTTGACTTCTCTTTCACTTTTTCTCCCTCTTCTAATTTCACATTGTCTCCTTCCTCATCATTTTTTATTCTTTTCCGTACCATTATAGAAAAATAGTTCAAAGTTTTGTCCCTCCTACAACAAAAATAAGGGAATAGAATTATCTACCCTGATGAATACAATTAGTCTGATAATTGCTAAAGTGATAGTATGTATAATGTTCACTTGTAAATGGGAAAGTTCTGAAAGTGTCATTTAAGGATTTCTCTAACACCATGATCAAACTGGTATCTTAGAGAACTTCAACATCAAATTAGTATATTTCGTTACAGGTAACAATTTTTTCCAATACTTCAGTAATTAGAAAACTCTTGTCAATATTTAAGGATGGATAAAAGATAGGCTGTCAAAAAATAGACCAAAGATGTATTGTAATTTACTAAGATTAAGAAACATTTGATAATAATTAGATTAAAATCTAGCTTGGTTTATCACATTGGATATCACTCTCTGAGATGTAAGAATATAATTCAAAGATATAAACTTGTTTCTTTGTTTTCAGCGCAGTAAAGTAACTGTACCTGTTGAACTCCTCCTCAGCCTCCTCAGAGTTAAGATACTTATATTGAACCATTGGTGAGAAATTGTACCACTCCTCTATAGGGAAGGCCTCAAAGGCTCCATCTGGACACTGTGTAAATATGTAGTAAGATGTGTTTTCTGCTATTGTGCCTTCTCGCACACCTTTGTACCTACAAACGGAGAACAGATATATACAGTCATTACAAGTTTACAAGTAACATTAAAGGGATGTCATAGTGATGTTTCCCCTTCCCCCCATAAATTCAGCATTATCAGATAAGGTAAAGATCCTCAATGGGAAAAAAGTGGAAACTTGATGAGAAATAAGGAAAATAATTAATTCTTCTAAGATAGAAAGAGGAAACATTCAGTGTTCATGTTTACAAGTTAACTGATAAAAGTTTTCTGTAAATGGGATCCTGATAGGGAAAATAGTGAAGGCCAAATGACACATTTTAGATATGGATACTGAATACAGTTTAAACTGTTAAAAATCTATGAGCAACATTCTTCAAAGTCCTTATCACTGCTGTCAGTGCAAATTACCTCTGCTGTCATAACTGCCTCCTTTTGAAATTTGTTATTATGAGCTACACTGATAACTGGCAGTATGTTTAAAGGCATTTCCTGAATTACTTTTGTGGGCAAACCTGACATCTGGCATAAACTATGAGTGTTGAAGTAGCATCATAAAATAATTGAGGGTGTAAATGATATTCAGTTTCTAATGCAAAATGTAATATTTTTTCAGAACTGTCCATATAAAGTGCACAGTGAAGTAACAGAGCATATCTTTCTAACTATAAAACAAATAATAATATATAATCGTTATAACTTAATCTGTTTGATATTATTTGATATGTCTTAACTGTACTGAACCTTTTCTTTTAACGCAAAATTTGGTATGGTTCACATTCTTAAGATTTAACAACAAAACCAATGCATTGGAGAAATACAATGTGGTACGTTTGGGTATAATAATACACATCTATATCTCCTTATATAGGTAGTGATTCTAATACATTTTTATTTCAAACACCCACTTTTTAGCCTCCTTTGTTTTCCCAACTTTCATCAACCAGGGTTGATTGCCTGGATCATATCGTTTCATCATGATGCCATATTTCTTTCGTCTTGCTGTCTCTTTCTGTTCGCGACCAAATTCACTTCCTGCTCCAAATTTGGGCATCATATCAATGCCATGGGCAGTTTTGTATTCCTTTAGATTGTTTTCTCTTTCCATTCTCACTGGTGTTTGCTAAAAATCAACAACAAACATTTGTCATCAATATACACAATCACCACATGAATATCTAATCTTATTTTTTTATCAAAAAGGCATTTCGAGGGACAGCGTAAAGTTGAAGTTATTACAACATAAATCCTCAAAAGTATATATATATATTCATTACTTTTGGGTGAATTTCTATGTTTACTATCGGTATGTCTGAATAATTTTTTATTTATGCTGAAAAATCCCTATACCAGATACTCTCTTTACAAGTTTTTATTCAAAGAAGTGAAATGGGAAAACAAAACAACAGTAATAAACAAAACTACCATGTCAAAAACATATAGTAATATATAATATAATTATAGACATAATTTTACCTCCTGAGAAAGCTTGTTAAAGTCTATATTGGCTCCTGATGAAAATTTCATCATTCTGTACTTCTTTTGTCGATCTCTGAAAAAACAGAACCAAAAATGATGTTTTGACATTTACTGTAATAGAAATAATACAAACCAATTTTGTTATTACATTTAAAGGAAGTTTAAGTAAGAAATAGCTACCATATCAGTAAAACCATAAGTATCACAGAAAAACTCACCACTGTTGATTAGTTGTACACATAACATACAATTATTAGGCTGTGGAACTTTGTATGTGCCTGATCAAATAATCAGCATCTGCTTTTCTAGTTTGGAAAGAAGTTATCTTTTTGTTGATATTTTCTTTTAAATGAAAAAGTGAAGGTGGAGACCTGTGAGTTTAACATCTATACACGCCATTTAGGTATGTATCAAACTGCCCGTAGCTAAAAGTAATTAATCTACTGTGTAACAATACATAAAATCAATGGTCAACATATAGGACATGCATTCTTGTGCCGTTTTCCTGTGTATCATGACAATTAGACATCAAACCATAAATGTTAATTATCTATAGATAAGTTCATTTCAACTTGACAAAAAGTGAACTTTAAAACAATTTGCAAGCCTTTGTTAAAAACCATGTGTAAAAGTTGAAGTTTTTTATGATTAATAAATGAAGGATCCTGAATCAACCCCCACTGGTATACCACTGATGATCTTCATAATTGCTTTTTGCTCCCTATAAATTGATCTTTTCCTTTTATTTTCTTGACTTAAAAATTGTGGATACATCATCTGATACCAAATATTCAAAAATGGTTATAATATGCTTGAATTGTCCTATCATTATCTAATGATGATGTACTCAAAACTTCCTTTTAATGTACAAACAGGTTTAGGGAAAATTTAAATGTCTTACAATTGTGGTTCCATACATTTGTTCTAATTTCAATACAAAAAATAATAGATCTCATTACTTTTAGCAAACTTTTTATGGCCACAGCAGAAATAATTTTACCCAAGGAATATTTAATAACACTGATCAATGCAACGGTCAAACTACAACTTACTTTGGGACTCGAACCACATACTCCTGTGTGCTGCCAGTCGACCCTCCAGGCTAAAGATAAAAACATAAATATGTACTTGAAGAGAAATATCACACAGATATGACTTGGGAATGGAATCTTATTATACATCCAGTAGAAGATTTGAGCATGATGTTTTGATTCCTTACCATCTTGTATAATACATACTTGTATGTCAGTGCTAGTACACGTCACACCAGTTGTTTGTCTGATGAACATGACTGTAAAGTCATTGAAATGTCACACTTTAATCTTCGACTTGTTGTGTTTTAATAACTTTTATTCTATCGACCTTACCAACTTCAAGCAAATGGTCTGGAAAAGACTTGAGGGTAGGTTTTAAAGGTAACAGATATGTATATTATTGAGTTAAGATTGTTCGCCAAATTGTGTCTTACAGGTGATCTTGTAAAAATCTTGGATTTGGTCTCGTAAAAATCTCCAATTAGTATTTATAGGCTATGATGTAAGACAAACGTCTTTGACTAGCCACAGTTTGGTCTTTTAAGAGATATTCTAGACAATCTGTTCTGACTAAAAGGAAATTCTTACTGGTTAAGGCTAGTAAAGTGGACCGTAAGCTCTCCTTCTACACTATTCCCCCTCGGTCCTTTATAAGTCTTATACAAAGATACAAGGTGGTCGAGGGGTTGGAGCTGCCACTCTTACTCATTCCAATTTTGTTTACCAGACAAAAACGCCAGATCAAACCAAAAACATTCTGCCACCACCATACAACTAATATAGTCGACAAATATGCGTGTAATTGCAGCAGCAGAAGTAATCACACCAGATCTACACCCTAATATAAATAATAATTTTTTGTTGACACATTCATTCATTGGAACCATCTTTCGGACTCAATTGTGCATTCAGGAACTGTAAAGATACTGAAGGCCGTCTTTCAAGAGTATTTACCAAAAATTCTAACACTGTCTTCAACCGAAAATAACATCTTACTAAATTGGGATCTACAACATATGATCTACAGACAATGACAACATGCTAGAGCTGGTCTTTCAGTGATTTATATGATGTCACAACAGATTGTATAGTTACTGATGTAAGTATCTCAGATGCATGGCTTTAACAACAGACTGAGTATTTGAAATATTCTTTACACAAAGACTGTGAATGAAAATCAATTTCAGTCTGAGGGATTTTTCTAAGGTGTCTAGTTATGTAGGGACCAAGACTGATAGGCCGATTGCAATGTCATAGATGGATTAATTTGGGAACTGGTAGTGATCACCATGGATCGACTCGGGTATACCAGCGTAACAGCTTGTCACTGATGATAAACGAATCGTGATTTTTGGCGACCCTCAGACATCTTTCAATGGATGTACTGGAACTTCTACAAAGCATCCTCGACCTATCGCTGGTCATTACAGATAATTTTCACCTCTGAACTCAGACACAATGGCATATTGTTAAGTCATACAGAGTTTCATCGGTCTTTGATATCAGCTGTAGATCTATACGTCTGTCTAACATCAATGTACTAAATTACCGACAGCGTAAAATAGGTCATCGTTCATGGTAACTTGAATTAAGGAAGAAACTCAAGTTGGATTAAAAGAACGTTTCGATCCTAAACATCACACATAGAGGTACATTACCTGTGGCTGTGCGCTTGAGGATGCCATGTTTTGATTTGCAACTAAAACTGACTTTGAATGTATTTTCGTACGCTGAATTTAACTGTTTTCCAAAAATATAGCTATATAAATAATTTTAAACGTAAGTCACATCTAATGCTATTTTTTAAAACATTTTCTGATCATGATTTCAAATATTCACTGCCAAATGATATTGTCATGATGAAAAAAACATAACATACGAAAATACCACTCAAATATGGCGCCACTGTGAATTAGAGAAATTTATTTCATGTCTCGGTAATTTATTCTTATAATTTAAATACTTGATTTTAATGTAGTACATTTAACGGAATGCTCATTGTATATGAATAGAAAGTTGAACCGATATTTCGTTTATATATGTTTTGATAACACCAAACAGACCTACAGTGTTGAAGTATATGGACGATATTTACTGTACTAGTCAACTCGACCAGTCACTACACAAAAACTCGCCCCATTTGCCAAACTCCTTAAGGATGCTTTATCATGTGAAATTGATAAATGCATTTTAAGACTGGATTATAACTATGTTGACATGTTGGTACTTTCTTGTTTGTTTGTTTTTATGCCCCCGCCATTTATGGCCGGGGGCATATAGCGTTGCCCATATCCGTCCGTCCCGTCCCGTCCCGTCCCGTCGCGGTCCCGCGGTCCCGTCGCGTCGCGTCCCAAATCAGTATATACCACCTAACAACTTCATTCGGACCTTTCACTATTATTTCACATGGAGGGGGGGCATTCATGTCTTACAGACATTTTCTAGTTTCTCTTGTCTTTTCTTTTGTTTTTTTCTTTGTAAACACGAACATATATGCTTGCGGGTAGAAATTACCGCGACAATTGTGACACAGAAAGTAAAACTCAGTTCTCAGCATCGGATTTTGTTATGGGTCTGGCATATGTCATTTGATAACTCCAAGTCAATTCAGAATTACGACTAAGTGACATAATAGCCAACAATATCGCAACCGATTCAGGCGAGAAACCATTTTTGTTTACAGGCTACGGTGTTCGTGCGCATGCGTTTTCATATATGATACAAACTTTACATATCCAGACAGTTGATCAACAGAATAGAATTTCCGTTTTATAACGTTAATTAACCTCTTTATGTGCATAATTCGGCGAAAACCAACTGTCATTGTTCTTAAGGTGATATACTTGATATATGTAATGTATGTGTAATAATGATAATAGAAATCAATGATCAAATCGTTTTACCGTGCTGTCACTTTGATATACTGAGAAACTATGTGTCTCTTCTTTATATGTTTACAAGCTATGATGTACATTTTAGCACTGGGATCCAAACAGACAAGTCAACTTTTGTTTTACTTTTATTGAGCATACCCTAGCTGTTGTATTAGGAGGGTTTTACACAATGGAATTAGCAGAGATCTGTCCTTATTCAGTAGTCCTTCTGCCTTTTTCACCAGAGGCTAACACATGGATGTTCATTTTTAGTTTGGAATCAAATGTAACTCCTGGATCGCTTTCTTGTCTTCTTGCTTTTATCCCTGTCTCCAGTATACCATTGTATCTTATGTGGTTGTGGCCAAAGATCAATGCTTTACATTAATCTGCATAGAATTTAAGCTGCCACTTTTCGGACCAATATTCCATTTGTAGTTTATTTATATCGTTAACAACTCTAGCATACTCCCTTTGGGGATCTCGCTGGTTACGTTAGCTCAACCAACTACACAATGTTTCCTCTTACTTAAAAAAAAAGTTATCCATTTTGCAAAATTTTATACCATTTTGTCATTTTTTTCGTATTCTGAAAGTCTTGTATTAGTTACCGAATAGTTGAAATCTTTTTAAGAATCCATATATATTTATCATTAGTATTTCTCTTGCCTGTATGTATAAATAGATCCCGCCTGACTCTATAAACCCAACAAACAAATAAAGATAAAAACCTGTTAAATGATGCATGTTGAAATGAAAGTTATTAAAATTGTTCAAATGTCATCATCCAGCTATTTCTGAATACTTACCAAATAATGTGTCTCGAGTGCGAGATGGTCAGAGAAGAAATACAAAATATGCTTCAAAAACAAACAAAGAAAATATCGAGGTATACGCGCAATCTTCATCTCATTCAAACTCGAATTCGATGAAACTAAAGCAAAATATTATAAAAAGTAAGTTGTACATGCAGATTCTTGAAAATAAGACCGAGTGTTCGGGAAATATAAGCGTCTTCTTCTTCATCGACGACACGCGCCATGTAAATATTGGTAAATAGAAGTGAAAGTCGCGGGTGAGAATAGAGATAAAAACAATGTAACTACAAGCTATCGACATCTTGTACAAAAATCGCGTTAACAAGAACAAGCCCTTGGATGGTGAATGTGATGTGTAAACGGATAGATTGTAAGAGCAGGCTTATTGTTATTAAAAAATGATAAATTCCAGATAGTAAAATGGGAATCATTACTCTCATCATCAAGTTTGGTAAAAATTTGTCCCTGTTGCTTTCGTAGATTATTAAATAGAACTAGGTAGTTCTTGGTCCCTACCTACTGTCCATTTGAGGACAGGTCAGAAAAGCGAAATGGCCGACAAGCGGCCAACTTGTATTTTCCAGACAGGTACTAAATAAACCATACTAAGTTTTTTTATACATAGATTTTTAAGGTGCAATGATTAACAAAGTCCAAACTTCCCAAGGTTTTTTTTAAGCGGTAACGGTATTTGTTGAATTTTATTGAATTGAATAGAATCATAGAACTAAATATATTCTTAAATAGCAGACACGGTATGAATTAATTTGCATGATAAAGAAGGGGGAGAGAAAGTCGTGTAGGAAATGATAGAACACGGTAATGGGGGTCCAGCAGCGAGAACATTGTAGAACTCTCAGACATTTTACTTCAAAATAGTCTAGATGTTACACAACATCGATGTATACCTATTTCTTAGTTGATAAAAAGACGGAAAATATAGTAATTATATTTCTCATCCGTATCCAATACACATGAAAGCGACCCTGGGGTTATATTTGATTCCAATCTCAAAATGAGCATCAGTGTGTAAGCCAACGTGAAAAAGACAGAAGGACTACTGAATAAGGACAGATCTCTGTTTATTCCACTGTGTAATACCCTACTTATACAACAGCTTAGCCCCAAAGCTTATCAGTGTATTACAGCGACAGCATGGTTATGCGATTTTTTTCACTGATGTTTTACTGTTTTTATTGTTATTATCATTATTGCATATATATCGAATGAACAATGACAGTTGGTGTTCGCCGAAATATGTACATAAATAGAGGTTGGTTAGTAATTATGATAAAGAAAATCCTTAACTTTTGATCAACTGTCTGGATATGTAAAGTTTGTGTCATATATGAAAACGCATACGAACAAACACCGTCGCCTGTAACCAAAAATGGCTACCGGCCTGAATCGGTAGCAACAATGTTGGCTATCAATGTCACTTAATTCGTAATGCTGTATAGACTTTGTTATCAAATAACATTTGCCACACCCATGACAAAATCCGGTGCTGGCAAACTGGGATTTACTTACCGTGTCACTTATGTCGCGGTCATAGATCTGCCCAACATCACGTCTTCGTGTTTACAAAAAACAAACAAGAAAGTACTAACATGTTAACATAGTTGTAATCCAAACTCAAGTTCAATAAAACTAGGACAAAATATGAACAAATGAAGGATTTACACACAGACTCTTGAAAAAGTAAAAGGATTATATAAGACCATGTGTCAAGGAAAGTAAGCGTCTTTTGCTGTATTTACGACAAACTCCATGTATACCTTGGTCAATTCAAGTAAGCAAGCCACGTTCTCAAATGAGAACAAGGTATGCAACAACGGAACTTACAGGCAGTCTAATAAGCATCAAACACGTCCAGCTTCAAATCACACAAAGAAATTAATATTTCTCGATGAGATCGTTATGATGACTTCCCAACAATATTCATCAACCTGCATCTCGTGAAACCTTGTGTTATGAGTTTGTATATAGTTGACGACAACTTGCACGCAAATAGTGATATTGGGAATAGGCATTTGCATATCAAATCATCTGTGACATGTAAAAAAAACCGTAGGTTGGGGATGCAAATGATGCAGGTATGTTATCATAGAGACATGGAAAATTCACAATAGAGATATTAAAATTGTCATGCTTATCATACCGCTTGGTGGGGCCTTTGTATCCTATATTGATTATCTCTTCAATAAAATCAGCCTCGTATAAAAACTAGAACAAGTCAGTCAACAGAGGGACACTGTTTATTCCCACAGGTATGCCTTTAGTCTGTTGGAAAATCTAACCAAGAAAATGATGACGTGACCAGAATCTCGATCAGTCTCATGATTTCGCCCTTCGTGTATTTCCTTTATTAATTCAGACGTATTTTTCACAAAATATGCTTTAGTATAGCTCATTATCATATGTTTGTATCGTTCATCCTTCTTGGAAAAGTAAGTTCTCATAAAAAGTTGAAAAAATCCGACACGCATCCGTCAAAATAAATCACGTGACATTTCGCTGCAAAATAGACTGTAACGGTACTTGTCTAGAAAACAAATGAAACTGACAGTTCTCGGAAAAATAAAAGCATTTACACAAGCGAAAAGCAGTGTAAAACAAGTAACGAGATCGGACGGTGACATTTTAAAACAAATTTTAAATATAGCTGATAGTTATATGTTTTGTAAACTAACGAGATGTGTAAAACGTCAAAAAGCTACATTTTTATTTTGTATTAAACTGCCAATGTATCGTTTAAGGCCAAGGTTGGTAGCTAGTGACGATACATATCTCAGTGCTTAACCTTTCTTTACTACTGATTGTGAATACAACATCTATTTAACATTGGTGACCGTTAATAGAGTAACCTTTGTGTTTCCTTAGACCATTTCTATATAGGTTGTATGTATTATAACGATGAAGAGGCCATTTTGATTATATACACATAGGGTATAGCTAGAAAAGATATGATACTTTGTTTTATTTAATTGTTACCAATAAAATATAGAGAAAATGAAGAAAAAACGTGTTTTTTTTATCTTATTTTAAGTTTTTGTTACTTTTGCAGACCTACACCAAAGAAAATAGAGAACACAGATCATCTTATAAAGTTGACAAATTAAAACACACTGTACGAAAACAAATATCACCATGTAGGGGTTGTTATCTTCAATTCCACGGTTAATTTTTATTTTCGTGGAAGTCAGCAAACAATGCAAGTCTGTAAACCAAATTACTTCATCAGAGTTCTAACCAAATCCCCAACCGAACATCTTGAAAGTGCATGTAGACATTTCAAGTGGATTCGTGTCAACGAATCTCTCAACATTTCAAAGCAAATTTTGTCTGATAGTTACACAAAATAGTAACCTTTTCTATGTTAATATAAAAAAACCAATTAACATTGAAATTTATTTTTGTGTTTATATATTTTTACCGATTTTTTCCAAAACACGAACTATATTTTTTCGCATAATGCAAAGCTATAACGAGTGAGTAGTGTCCGAGAAAAGTATTCGTCATTTTATTTCTGTTCTTAATATGCTAGTATTTGGCAATTTTTGCTTGTAATGTAATGAATAGAATATTTGATATAGTCTTCAGTAATGACAAATATTAAACATAAGTGTTTGTATATGTTTTTGGTAGAGTCGGTTGATTCGATCAGCTTGTTACAACGTAGAAACAGTATGCAGTCAGATGCCGAGACATCATGCTATACCTTTAATGATGGAAATCATAAAACATGCGTTTGAATTAAGTTCCAGATTATATTGTAAATACATATATGAAACATAAGCATTGAGACACCGTTGATCAATGTCTAGTAACAAAAGTCGTGACCGACAATATCGATAGAATGACTTATATCAGAAAGTAGGGCACTCTCGCATCCCAATTTCACAATACGTTAATATTTCTTTAAATTGTATTCCAGTATTTGATGTCCCGGCATCAGACGTTAACAGAAGGTAAGTAATCCCGATCAATTATGTTTTGTGCGATGAGTGCGGTGCAGGAAGTGCAGGTTGTGCAGGCGCTGTATGCAAAAATATAATTAAGCCATTTTTAGACATTTCGATTTCCTTTAATTAGATGTTTTGATGAGTCTGAAATGCTGTAAAGCACATATCAATTATAATTTACAGTACAAATGAACCACATGTGTTGTGTATATTTTTACATAAAATAGTAGATAGGTTAGAAGTATATTTAACTATCTTCAAATGTGTTTTGATAATCACTTATGCTGTTGACATACATATGTATAAAATGTAATAAGTGGGGTATAACACCCACACATGATGACGATGTACGTGTCTAATACTTGATATATGTGTAAAATATGGTGATACTTTTGAATAGAGAACACAGAAAATGAATGAGGAGAGAAATTGCTCGGATGGTTCCGAACATGAAACGACGTCTTTTCAAGAAAGCGATAAAGAGGATGCAAAAGAAAAAAGTTGTCCCAAAATTGTTGACGAGAACAAAAGTCGATCCTTTATAGCAGAACTTCGATGTAACGATGTCACCCGTTTCAATGCCCTTCTCAGCTTCTGTGTCGCCTTCGCGTTTTCTATGCTGGTTTGTGTAATCTTGTTTACGAATGTGTATATTCCATGAGACAATATAACTATTGCTGTACTGCAATGTATTTTTTTTTCATTTAATTAAATGTCATCGATGCTTGATTCGTTTTATTTTATATCAAAGAATTTTAATGTCTCTAAAACAAAGTCGACATCACAAAATTGTATCTTCAGAGATAACATCCTATCACTAATCTGATCGCATCAATTATGATTTTACTTCCATTCTAAATATATCAATGTGTATGCCGAAAACCATGACGACACTGTACATATGTTTGTCCATATTTGTATACCAAAAGAAGTAGATTTTCGCTAGTTTAACAAAGAGACCACGAAAATGTCCGCCAAAACCTACAATGTGTTAAGCTTTCAAGATGACGTTGAGACGATAGATATACCTATAGGTGAGACTACCTTACTATCTTATCACATTCGTTATACACCTGTAATCATAAATGTTTTAACCCATCACCAGGGATGGAGAAGTGGCCAAAATGGACCAGCCTTTCTAGACCTTATACGCATTTCAGGTACAGACCTGGAAAGGGGATCTGTTTACAGGAGTGTATTCTTTGCTGGTAATATACTAGGATCTATATTCGGTGGAGTGTTTTACTCGAAAGTAAACAAATATTTGATGCTGATGGTGTCCTTTACAACAAACACTCTCCTTCTTGCTCTCATTCCTTGGTGTTTCCATTATGAATCCATGCTAACTGTTCATGCATTTCACGGTATATGCAATGGTGTGATGAGTGTAGGTGAGTACTTTTTCAAATGATCAAATTAACAAAACTGATTGTAGATTTAATGACCTTCACATTTAATAATATTTTTCATAACAATTTTTCACTGTACAAAATTACAGTTACTAATTTCCATTTGATGACGACACCCATGGCGGGTGTTGTCGATGAAGCAGAACACGCTTATTCTTCCGGATCACCTGGTCTTAGTCTCCCTTGTGCTTTTTCAGGAGTCTCTTTGTAAATACATCTTTCGTTCATATTTTGTCCTAGATTTATTGAATTTGAGTTTGGATTATAATTTTGTTGACATGTTGGTTTTTTTTACACTTTCAACCACCAGTAACACTGACGAGCTATAATAGGTATATATAATATATTGCATATCAATGTTCTCTTTCTACTATTCAAGCTCTTCCAGTTGATTTTAAGAAACCCGGGGTGTGCTGTAGTACTACATACCATGTTTAATTACTAATAATTAGTTGGCAACAGTGAATAATAAAACAAGACATTTAAAAAAACATCTTTCCAGTCTAAAAATCCCTGCTAAATCTATCAAACTATAAGTGGACTCGTTTTGATATAATACAAATTTTTTTTCGTTATCTGTGTGTGTTTTTTCAGATTTTTCGACAAATATCACAAATTTTTATAGACCATGATTCTTTCATTTAGTATTGTCAGCGATTGCAGTGGCGATATGGGGTGCTACAGCGCGGGGAAGAGTTTATCTCAACATCTTTTACGCCTCCTTCTCGGCAGCGGGACTGATTTCACCAGTGATTACCTCCCCTTTTCTGTTGGCGACACTAACGGACGTTCCTGTTCATGTTACACTGCGGAATTCTTCAAATATCGCCGGCAGCGAATTCAAGAAAGATGATCTTATAAATGAACTAAACATGTCATCCGCAAATTATAATATTTATTCTAACAGTACGCGGAATGACACTCCAACATCCAATATCTTCATCGCATATTCTATCTCGGCTGGCCTTTCTTTGATTTCAACTGTTCCTTTCATTATTTTATACTTTAAAGCTCCTGTGAAGAACGGTGAAGGTTCATTTGATAAAAAATCCAAATTCATTCAGGATCACTTACCGTTAACTTTAAAAGTACTTCAGGTAGTTAACATTGGAATATTTTCCATGTTATATATGTCACTAAATTTCACATTAGGAGGCTATTTGGCTACTTTCTGTGTTCAACACATGCGGTGGACAAAGGCTTCTGGCGCGTGGCTGACATCAGTGTTATTTTTAGCGATGCTCGGTGGAAGAATAGGTGGTGCCTATCTATCTCTCTTCTTTAAACCTCTGAAGATGCTTGTTCTCTCAACTGTCCTTCATGCCGCTGGCTTAGTTGGACTTTCATTAAGTGGCATTTTAACCTTTGATGTAGGAATATGGGTATCTGTGTGCGTCATAGGGATTGCTTTGAGTCTGATGTGGCCAAGCCTGACGAGTTGGACGAATGAAAATTTACTTCCGGTTCGTGGTAGGATGGTGACATATCTTATGTTAACTGGATTCCTCGGGGCACTTTTGAGCCCTTTGCTGTTCGGTTACATGATGGAGGAGATCTCCACTATTTGGTTTTGCTTCTTGAGCCTGGCGAAAGCTGTTGGTACAATTATCAATGTTATATTGATGTTTGTGTATACACAATATCTAAGAAGAAAACGGACAAGATCAGAACTTTAAACAGAAAAAGTTGGATATCGGTTTCTTTTAATATCATAACGTTTTGGGGATCTAATGCGAACGTAATTAAGTAGGAATAGAGGTTATTATATCAAGAGTGTCAATTCTCTAGAAAATATTATAATAAATTTTATTTAAAAAATCCGTAAATGTTTTATTTTATTTTTTGAAATATAAGGATGACACGAGTATCGGTTGGGTTTTGCCCCAACGTCACAAATTACAAATATTAGGGTTTTAATGCTTTATCATGAAGACGATATCACAACTGAAAAAAATCCAAATACAGACAAATTGTTTCTTGACATGAACGATTTTGGATTCCTAATCTGGAAAACCAGGTCATAATCATACCAACAAAAATAATTAGCTCTTTCTGGCGGATAAACAAAGTATGTTCATATATGATATCATTGTAAGTTTGATGAATACTTTACATCGATAATAGCTCATTGGGTATTTTATTTCTCTGTTAGTTTGATGGGTGTTTACATTAATGTTACTGTTAGTTCGTTGGGTATTTTACATAGCTTCTTTAGCTTGATTGGTATTTTACATCAATATATCACTGTTTGATCTGTGAGCATTTTGAATCAGTAATAGATCAGTTGTTATTTTGTAATGCTATTACTTCGGTTTGTATCTTATTTAACCGTTACTTATATTTCGGCGAGTATTTCATATCACTGTTACTTTAATAGACATTTTACATCAGTAAAGTTTAGTGTCTGTTTTGTGGAATAATTGTAGAATATGTAATTGCATTTTAAATTCTCCTGGTATTGTTTGTTTATGATCATTAGCATTATGTTATATATTTCTGATATACACGGGGAGTTCATTCGTTGTGTTAAGATAAACAAATCTATCGAGTAGCGAAATTAGAAGATAAATGTACATCATAGTTTTATATCAATATCTAATCTAGGAAAAACATGGAATATACGTATCCTGGAACATAGAAACATTATGCAAGTTTTTCCATATAGTTACTGAATGAAAAATCAAAGATAAGAAAAATAAAGATTAGTTCAGGGAGGTCACGATTTCGTACTCAATTAATCGTCGATATTAAATATTAAATCTTACATCTTCTGTGTCACTTGACCTACCCTATTTCTTCAATTTGGACGAGAAAGCATTGCACAAAGCTATTGTTTTCGAATACGTTAATTAAGCGTTTTTTATGTTTTAAAACATAAATATGTGTTCAACACAATTGGAGGAGATCAGTGTTTGCAGCAGCTGGAAGGAAGTAAAAAGTTAATATTCTCCATGTCTATCACTACAAATATACATATATTTTATCCTTCTCCAAAAACATGCTTTTTCAGTTTAAGTTAATCATGTTGATTTTGAATTGAATGATTTATCTTACACTTGTTTTATTTCAATATTTCTTTTTCTATTATTGAACACTGGTTTATAACCTAATGCATATCCAATAATTATGTGTGTATTCATTTAAATCGTATATTTCCCATTTGTATTCAATTATTAAAATTTTGTATTGTATAGTGTTTCTATTTTAATTCTATATCTTGCATTCACATTCGATTTGTGTTATTGCTTAATTTCACATTACAAGGTAACATAAATCTCAGATACTTGTTACGATTATGTACTTTGTGAATAGTCATGACTTCGTTGACACGTTAAATAAGAGAGTTTTACTGATTTTAAAGAAGGAAAGTGCTGTATAATAAATCATTTAGATCTAATGGCCCTTACATTAATCTAATACAGATTTTAATACAAAATTAAAAACAGCAATCATCTGGGTCATCCGGAGTAAAAGGTTTGACTTATCAAATTCATTTTTGTGTCATATCATCGTTATTTTTCCCTCAAGTACACATTTACTTACTAGTTATATGACGTTTCGAGATTAAAACCAGTCGTCACCTTTCACTTAAGACGTATTCGTGAATCATATATAACCCTGGTAATCCTGACACTGTAGAAGGCTGATAAACACTGACGCAAGCATTAAGTTAGGAAGAATATCATAATATGGATAAATAATTAAACACAACACCTTTTTTCAGTTTATGATAACACAGAAATAACCTTATCCATTTTCTAATTGATGCTTTGGATGGTTTTTGATACTAAAAAAATCATCCTTTTAATAAATACGATTTTTATGAAAGTTGCGCTCAGAAATAATCGATAATGTTGCTTTATGCCTCCCCTATCTTGTCACATAAATAACTAAAATTGACGTGGAAGAATATGATCATTGTATGGTGAGTTTTGATGCACAAATTTACAAATTAAAAAAGAAAAAAAAACAAATGTACAATTTGTTACAAAGATTTTTAAAATCACAAGTATCACTGATGAGAATGCATATCCCTTTGCGATCGTAAGCAAATGTGGTATAACCTCAGAATGTGCTGCAATGTGATACCATTTGAACGCTTTCGACCTACGTCGTTACAACCTTCACTACCTGATTATAAATCAATAACGTGTGTGGACATTTTTGCACTTTGAACGTTATAATAATCTGATACAAATCACATTTGAAAGATCAATTTTTGTCAGTAAGACTAGCAAGTGTGTTGAGTTTAGTAAATGAGAACTTAATTTAAACACGCGTAAAAATGGCTGCTTTTTCATGCTAAGTGGATTTGTTCGGCAATTGTATGATATACGATATATGATATATGATAGAAGAGACCTCCGCTATTGGTTTGGTTATTTACACTTAAGAAAGGTCTGTATAACAGTTTTCGTATTTATATACTCTGCATTTCAAAATGAAAATTATGCAAGAATATAATTAATCATTATTTCAAGGAGCGTATATATCGGGTGTACATCCTAACTAGAACTATGATAAAAAATCTTTGTATGAATAAGAAACACGGTGAAGTACCTTATTATTGTTATTTATCTTAAGCATATACTTTCTCTGATACTTGCAATGAAATGAACAAACCTCTGTGTGTATGCCTTTAGTTCAATCTGTTTTGGGGAAATGTTAAACAAAAACATATCAAAATTAAGATATTAGTTTCTAAAATGTTTTTCATTCTGGTTATTAGAAAATTATAACATGTAAAGCTGATGAAATACATGTTCGTTATGAAAGTATAGCTAGAAATGATGAGTTTGAAAAAGTTCCTTGATGAAAGTATTCCACTACAATATAACAGCTCTAATTGTAGTTTGTGTATGTTGATTATTATATAACATTTTTGGTATGGACACGTTATATAGCGTTGTTCTTATTCTCTAAAAATGATAATGCGTTAAATTTTGATAGCGACAACGTACGTTTGGTATTTTATTCTAAAATAACAAAATCCCAAATTAATTCCATTATATATACTGAACTTCATGTACAAACAATGTATTTTGGAAGCTTCCGCATGATTCTGCATGTGCTTGTCTTTGTTTCAAGTGCAGTGAAGCAAACAACTATTTGACAACAATGATTCAAATCCTTACACTATTGCCATCGAATAGATTCATACCATTCGCGTTTATGGAATTTTAAATGTTACATGTAGGTGTTAACTGTAAAAGAGGAGCTTGTATAATGATCTCCCTGGTCCTCAATGCTTGTTATAAACTGCATTGTTTGCCGCCTTTTGAATTTCCACCGCATAATCCTTCTTAGTAGTAAGCATAACAACCCGCCAACTCCGAAAGTAGTCCCTGAGAGGTAGAATGGGATGAAATTGTCTCCCTTTATGTCGGAAAGAAATCCTGAAACAGGCGTACGATGATGTTGATGTTGTGAAGCGAGTTCTACTCTACTTTCTTTCTGAACAACGTATCAAAAAGGATATTTGTGTAACAAAGTTCGATGGTACGTTTCTGTTTTAAATTCATAATTAAGAAAAACTTATATAACATTTGATTTAAACAAAAGTATAATGTGTTATCATTGTTGACGATTATATTCTAACATTTAAAATAAGATTAACTGTACTGCGGAAATAATTAAACTACCTGCTAACGGAGATCCAAGAAGCGAACTCAACCCAATCCAACAGTAGATGAGTCCGAGGGTATTAGGAAGTTTGTCTTTCCCATTTACCTCTATCACGATAACAGACAGCAGTGCAATAAATATTCCTGAAAGTAAAAAGAGGAAATACAAGTCAGCAGAGCTCAGGGGAAATTTCAGGCTTACCCATTTCATTCGTTATGTGTTGAACTTGTTTCAAGTTATATTTTGGTTGCATATTAATTTTGACCCAAATATACCGTATACAATTTCATTCTTGCAATATTTATAGTTGTGGTGTTGCATGTCGAACAAAAGGATGCACAGAGTGTTCTTCATGCATTTACAAAAAAAAGAAGTAGAAGAAAGAAACGTTTCCCCCTGCAGTACACCTTAGCTGTAAGGAAAGGAAATAATGGGATATTTGGTCAAGCATTACACCAAGAATGATCTCCCTTCTGGACAATCTACCCTAAAATCAGCCAAGCGGAACGATGTCATTGTCTGACTTGTGAGCTTTAGTCCAAATCACGAGGCCAGGCCGGATTTTTTTTAAAATGAATAATTTCAACGGATGCTCTAAGTTTAGCCAGAATAATTATCCACGTTGGCATTTTGATTTCGCCATTGACCGAGAGGCCGCGCTTAATTCAGAGGGATAGAGCAACTGCCATGTTGATGGATGGTCATAGCGAAACTGCTGTTGCACGACGTTACCTTTGTACAATTAACCGTCTCGATACACGGTTCCAGATTACTAGGTTAGTTTCCGATCATCACAGGAGCGGTCATCCGGGTGTAACGACCGCACGACAAGACAGGGCGATTCGATTATTGCACTTGCGCTACAGATTCAAGACTGCTGTAGAGACTGCGTCTCATACATTAGGTACTCATGGCAGACCCATTAGTGCTCAATCCGACAGGAACCGCTTGTCTGCCGAGAGAATCATTGCGCGCTGACCTTATGTCGGACCACCACTGACACCACGGAGACGGCAATTGTGTCTTGACTGAATGCACAGACATGACCCAG